TATTGTAAATAATGATATGAGTATTACAGTTCGTATTTTACTCGTTTAAATAAATTTCAGGTCCAACTATTCATACAACTCCTTCTATAATATTAAACAATATTGATTGTTCAATTGATCTTGGAAAAATAATTGTTGTTATAATGGGTGGAGAATATCAAACACAAATATTTGATGATGTATCAAGAAATGATTTAGTTAAAAAAAATTCGTTAAATAATGATAATCGTCAAAGTATAATATTTTATGAAAATACTGTTTATCAAGTTCGTATTCAATTAAATTGTAGTCAAGAATGGAATAATGATTTATCGAAAGATAATTGTGAACTTAATTATGATATAAATGTTTGGATTGATTTAAATGATGATAATATTTTTCAAAATGAAGAAAATGCTGCACCTTATCGATGGCCACTTCATAGCTATACACCGCGAGGTGTTTATGATTTACAAATATCTATACCAATTATTCATACAACAACGAATAAATTCGGACCATATAAAATGCAAATTCTTACAACACCGAATGATCAATATCGATATCAATGTACTAATCAGAATTATAAAGATATTAGAGAATATACTGTTTATATTATTCCAATAAATACAAAAAACTTAGGTTTATATTTTCTTGTTTTTATATTTATTGAAATATTTTTATATTTAGACGATATTGAAATACCTCATTTAATGTTAAATAATGATGAAAATTTATGTTCTATGAAAAATGGTGAAATTGTTCTTGTAACAATGTCTGGTGAACAAGGTTCACATATTCGTGATAATATATTAAAAGATATTTTAAGTGAAAAACAAAATCGACATCATTTAAATGTTTATCTTTATGAAAATGTAAATTATCAAATACGTATACAATTAGATTGTTTAAATAAGGAGAATTGTAATTTCGTACAAGATGTTAATATTTTAATTGATTTTAATAATGATAATATATTTGAACAATCAGAAAGTCGTATTCCTCATCGTTCGCCATTGAGAAGTTCAATACCATTTGGAATTTATGATTTAAATATTTATATTCCAAGTGTTGATGAAATAAATATTAAAAGTGGACAACATCGTATGAAAGTTATTGTTAAATCAAGTGATGAATATATAAATAAATGTGGAAATAATGATTATTATCATACAAGAGAATATATGATTAATATTATTTCAAAAACAGATTCAACAAGTAATTACATTTTTTTTATTTTAGAAAAAGAATTAGATTTTGTCATAGAAATATTTCAATAGAAAAAACTAAATATTATTTTTGTTAATTTAGTTCTTAACGATCCAATTCCAATTGTTAATCCAACTTATCCAACGACAGGTTTGTTATTAAATTAAATAAGAAATAAAAATCAACTCATTTTTAAGTTGAAATTTTCTTTTTAAATAAGGTAGTACGGATTCCGAACAATTCAACACTACCGAATCAATACCAAAGATTCAACAAGGCAAAGGATGCAGATGTTGGTGGATTTTAATCTTTGATTTTCTTATTATACTTATTTTATTAATTTTATTGATTTGTTGTTTGCTTCATAAATGCAATGTGTTCAAACGATGTAAGAGAAATAGACCAATAGAGCCAACACCTCCAATAAAACCGACACAACCAAAGCAAGGTTCACCAACAAAGCCAAAAGCTCCAAAAAAACCAACACCCCCAATTCCTGATCCACCAATAACGCCAATACGTCCAATAGTACAGCCACCACCAAGACCAGTTTCACCGATAGAGCCAATAGTACAGACGCCACCAAAGCCAGATCTACCAATAAAGCCAAAACACTCACCACCACCACTACCGATAGGTTTATCTCCGATTGTAATTGAACAACTAAGTAAGTTTTCTCTTAAAATTGATTGATGGTGTGAGTGTGGTTGATTCCCTTATATTACATTCACACTCCCGTACCCGGCTTCTTCTATAGTAGCATGTTTTGCCTTCAAAATGAACAAAACTTTGACGCTCCGAACAGATAATATATACAGAAAATTATTTTCTTCTTATTTTATCTTTTTATAATCTATAGAGATTATAGAGCGTTTCACGCTACATCTTCTAGTGTATTTCTTTTTAATACAACTTATTGAAGGATTTAAAACTAATACAGAAAACATAACCATTTAACCAGTCTCACTGTTGTCTAAGACTTACAAGTTTGAAGTTTTGTCCATAATCATAAATATGGCTGAGCGTAATTGAATAGATGTTTTAGAAACGAAATCACGACTAAAAAATAAAATTCTATGAAAAAATAAAATCGTTTCTATGGATCAATTTAGAATGGTTTTCAGCGGGTCCGATGACTAATGCTCGACGAAGTCATCGAGCATTATTATTATCAAATGGAAAAGTTTTAATCACAGGAGGATTCAATTATGGTTCTTTAAATAATCCTGAATTATATGATTCAAGCACAAATACTTGGATAACTATTGAAAGAATAAATGATATACGATCAACAAATACTTCAAGAACATCAGAACATGAAACAGAATTAGTTACTGGTCAACTTGGCAGTCATTATTTTATTGATAGTGTAGAATTATATGATCCATCCAATGAAAGTTGGACAAATCTTCCTAATATGAATATTGCTCGAGGTGGACATACCACATCTTTACTATCAAATGAACAAATATTAGTTGCTGGAGGATATACAAATGGAAAATATCTTAATAATACAGAATTATTTAATCCATCAACATTAACGTGGACAAATACTTGCCCAATGAATGATGCTCGAGCTGAACATACAGTATCTATATTAAAAAATGGTAAAGTTTTAGTTGCTGCTGGATTTGAATATTATCATTGGTTAAATAGTGCAGAAATCTATGATCCTAAAACACAAATATGGACACGTACTGGTTATATGAATTATAGTCGAAGTAAACATACATCATCTTCATTAAGAAATGGACAAATATTAATAACAGGTGGATATAGTTGTGGATATTGGTTGAATACAGCAGAAATATATGATCCTTCAACAGAAACTTGGAAAATTACTAATGATATGAATATTGCTCGTGGTGAACATACAGAATCTGTATTAACAAATGGTAAAGTATTAATTGCAGGTGGCTATAATCGTGGTGCTTTAAATGATGTTGAATTATATGATCCAGAAACTGAAACATGGACAACAATTACTAATATGAATTATCCAAGATTTTCTCATACAGCATCTTTATTAAATAATGGATATTTATTGATTATTGGTGGAGTTAATAATAATGCTTTAAATACTGTTGAGTTATATGATCCATCAAGAGGAACATGGACAATTATTGAAAATCTTAACGATGCACGTGGTGAACATACAGCAACTGTATTAACTGATAGTAAAGTATTAATTACTGGAGGATCTTATCTTGGTAGAACTTTGAAAAGTGTTGAATTATTAAAATAAATACTTTTAATGACTTTTTATTTTTAATTAAAATGAATGAAATTGTTTAAATTCCATTAATTAGATAAATAATTAGTTTTATTATCCTATATTCCGGTGTGTTTCGTTTCTTTGATATTATAGTTTATGAATTTGTTTTTATATTTATATGATGTATTGAAAAAGTTTATCTTTCGCTTAATATTTATTCTTTATATCATTTGACTAACCGATTTTGAATTTATAATAAAATTTTTATATAAAATAATAAATTTTTCAATTTAATACTTTAAAATGATAGCAAAAGCTTCCTATTAGAAACAATATCAAATCTGAGTGTGGATGGATGTGGCTATTGAATCAATATACAGCCACATCCTAAAAAAATTATTTTATATAAAATAATAGTTTCTGAATTTTAAAGTTGAAAATTTGCCTAATTAAAATCATCAGTTGAACTAGTCTGTCAAAATAACTTAACATCATTGAGAAAAAGTTTCACAATGATTATTATATACAAAAAGTTATGCAAGATTATTGTCATACATTAAACTAATTGTATACTCTATAAATTATATTGTATTTTCTGTTTGTTAAAACAATTCATACATGGTTATTGCATTGAATAGTGCTTTCTTCGAGCACCTATTAGTTTCGTATATTATATGTGAAATAAAGTTGATATTCAGGTAAAAATATTTTATAATTCGAATTACTGATTTTGGAATTTAAAATAAAATATTAAAATTCAATTTTATTTCGTTTAATCAATAATTATAAAGTTTAATTTAAGAAGTATTTAATCTAGTTTCAAAAGTTATACAGTTTATCAGTATAATACATAAAAGTTAAATGAAATTTAACAAGATAAGTTTTAATTCGATATATATAATGTTATTACAGTATGTTTATTTTTTATTATCATTAAAATTTATTAAACAAAGATATTTGTATAAAATAAAATAATATTATTTTACTAACAAAAATTGCTGATTGATTGTTAGTTAAAGAATGAAATGTATGCATAAATATACAATTCAATTCTATTCGAAATGGTTTCAACGGGCATAGATCTATCATTTGAAATGTATTATAAGATTATTACTTATATTTTGAATTTATTTCTTCAGTTATTACATACATTAGAAGTATTATAACTATTAGTTCTTCTATATATTTGTTAAATTGGGTTACTCTATATATTTACGATTAGTATTTGGCAATATAAATGTCCTGTGTTGAATTTGGTGTGTCTTTCTTGTTTTTAATACAGAGTGTATTGACGTTATCTTTTATAAAGTAATGATTCATCTTGTTGTCTTTCAATAATAAATACTGTTAGGTAGAATTCATTTTAGTCTTATCTCATTTTCGGATAGCAAATAATGTCATTTTCTCTCGCTCTTATCTGTTACACGCTCATCTTTTGCTTATTTATACTAAGTGACTATTATTTTTCTTCTTACTATGTTCATCTTTCATCCAGTCGATTATTACCAACAACATCATGGCTATTACCACGAGTTATTCTTCTGCATTTGATATGTCTTTTAATATGGATTTCAAGCATTCTTTTTCCATTTCTTCGAGTTCCATTTCAATATCATACTCGCTTAACTGCTTTTTACACACAAACAACGTTTCATTTGATAATGAAATGGAGTGCAATTATTGCATCATTTATATTACCTCATTATCTTTGCATTTATTTTATTGTGTTTTTTTGTTGGTTTATGGCTGATTGGACATGTATTATAGCACGGATGGAATCCAAACTTCATCCACAACCATATCATCGTTCATTTCTTGTTCGTGTTAGTCAATCGATGCGTATTATATTTGCTAGTTTGGGTTTAGTAGCAACTATTAGACATATTTTCTTCAAATAAATAAATAAGCATTATAACTATCAGGGTGGGTGTAGGTGTCTTTCTCTCTACCTTCCATCTACACCCACACCCTATTACGAACAATATTTAATATTTGTAACTATATTAATACAAAAAAAATGAATGTAATAAAGTAGAAGTGCTATTTGAAACAAAATGTTTTGTATACAATCGTAAATATCAGTATTACTTTTCAATAGACGTCTCAATGTTTTTACATTGTATTTTGAAATGGATAAGTTGCATGTAGTTACTCTTACATTCTTTGTTCTTATATAATAGAATCAAAAAATATTTTATTTTCTTCTTCCAATTTTCTATTATCAAAAACAATTTATAGCAACAAGAAATATATATTATAACAACGGAAAATATTCATGAAAGTTTTCTGGACGAACAAATGATCCATCTAAATGAAGGCTTTCCAATTGATCGAAATTAAAATACGTTCGATTATTAGTAAAATTGTTTGTTATAGTTATCAGTGGTTTGTACTCCATGGAGAGATTCAGCAAACGAGGCAAATACATCTTTTGTTTGAAGAGAAATAAGTTGACATAGTCAACATGCGTACATTGTAGAGTCATATATGTCAGATAAGGAAATCTAATTAATGTTGATGAATGTTGATTGTCTTTTTGTGGATGATTATTATGTATATATAAGAATTCAAGAAAAGGAAAATCTTGAGAGATGAATTCGAAAAAGTTATATTCAAATGGAATTCTATCATACATTTTCAATAGTCGAACTTTTTTAGATATACCTCCTTGAAAAGAATTGTTGAGATCGACAAAATATTCTTGAGGGTGTGGGTGCGAGTATTATCCTTTTCATTCACACCCACATCCACACACCTCATCCCACCCCTCATGATAGATCGTAATGTGTTTATTAAGTTACTTCACGATAGTCACCCTGGCCGATGATTCGAGAAGCAGTATTCCATGAATTTCCGACTGAAATCCCAAGTAAACTCGCCGTTTTCGGCAGAAACCTTGCCAGAAAAAAGCCAGAAATTCGGCCCTGAAATCGGTTCTGGGTGGAACTGAACGAATTCGATCGCCAGATCCGTTCAACAGGAATACTGCTTCCATGAAATCTCCGGAATACCAAGGAACTGGCCGTTTCCGTGCCGAATTGTTGGACCTGGCATTGGAGCGTAAGACTAATCGAAAATTTATTCTTTTTTTTAATAAATATTTTTATTTAGGAAGAAATATAAACTTTACTGAATGAGAAGTGTATAGCATGCTTGAGCGTGTGAGTGTTGTGAGTGGGTCGGTGTGACTGCAAGTATTATCCTTTTCACTCTCACCCACACCCACATTCATTTACAAAAATTTATCTACAGCATGCTCTTTCTTTCTTTTTTCGTTTCTTTGATTCGTTCCCTCGACAGTTAGTCCATATTCCATCTCTTTATTAAATAGATTTATGCTAACTGTCCTCCGCATTTTATGCATATCCATATATATGTATATATACATCTTCTTTTCTTTTTTTTCTAGAATTTAAACTTGATTATGGATCCTAATGTATTTATCGATTCGTTACAAAAAACTAATTTTGAGGTAAGACCAATCCAAAATATATTTTGTGTGAATAAATTTTTTTTGTATTTAGAAAGTCTCTCTAGGACTTTTAAAAGATGCTTCAATTGATTGTTTGCGTGTGGACATGGAACGTGTGAATAAAGCTGAAAGTCCACAAGAACATGATCGATGGGCGGTGAAAGTGAATCAGAGTAAATCTGAAATAAATTTAATCAATCTTTTGATCAATTATATAGATAGTAATTATATGTTTATATATATTAACTTCAATAAATCAAATCATTTTTATTCTAGAAATCTATGTGACATGTAATGAACAATATATTGAACTATTATTAGAAGATACTGATGAAGAACCAGCTAAAGATACTAATGAAGAACTAGCTGAAGATACTTCACTGATTTTTTAAAAGACATAGTATATTTATTTCTATTTTTTGTATTTTTATCATTGATTAAACTTGAAAAAAAACTAAGAATAAATAGACTATCAGACTATATTAGTTCATCCGATAGAATCGACTAACGCTCGCAAGATAAGATTCTTTTATTTTTAAGTTTGTGTGTATATACTGACTTCTGCTTTATCATTTATTTCTTTACATCGATTCAAAAGAAACTAAATACATAAAAATTCACACAACTCATTCAAAAATAAAAGAATATAACAGATGAGAAGAAGAACATGAAATAAATAAATTAATGAGTGTTTAGAACAAGGGGGAAAATGCAGACTTTTGCACTTCAAGTGAATTTGAGCTACTTTGCACTACTTTGTGCTACTTTACGCTACTTTAAGTTACTTTACGCTACTTTAAGTTACTTTACGCTACTTTTCAGCTACTTTAAGCTACTTTAATCGACTTCACGCTACTTTAACCGACTTTAGGCCACTTTACGCTACTTTGTGCTACTTTACGCTACCTTGAGGTACTTTGAGGTACTTTGAGGTACTTTAGACTACTTTTGACTACTTCGAGTTAGTTTGAAGCGCCATGTGCTTCTATTACATATTTTGAGCTATTTTTGTACCTTGCACTACTTTGTACTTCAAGTTAATTCTATATACTTTGAACTACTTCGATCTATTTTGGACCACTTTTTTACTTTGGGCTACTTTTGTACTTTGAGCTACTTTGAATTATTCACATGCTTCGAGCTATATCGAGCTAATTTGCGCTACTTTCTGCTACTTCTACCTACTTAAGACTATTTTGATACTTTATAGTACTTTATGGCACTTTATGCTTTAAAGTTTGCATTTTCCCCCTTGGTTTAGAAGATAACATCATTATATATTATATATGTATATATATATCTTATTTTTATTTTAGAATTTAATATTATGAATCCCCAAGTGTTTTTAAATGAATTAAAAAACATTGAGTGGAAAGTAAGACTAATTTAAAATTTATTCTTTTTTTTTAATAAATATTTTTCTTTAGGGAAAAGCATTGACATTGTTACGTGATCAGTCTACTGACTGCTTGAATGTAGATATCGACATTCGAGATAAGACAACAAATACATCAGATATTAATACATGGAATAGAAGAGTTGAGCAAAGTAATATGGAACTAAAAATCATCAACTTATTAGTTCGTTACATAAACGGTAACTATATATATATTAGCTTATTTAAGTCACTCAAGTGATTTTTGTTTTAGGTGATACTGCTCCAGCATCCATTACTGACCGTTTGTAGCACGCATTTTTTTAAATCCATTTTTACCAGGATTGTAGGCATGCACCAATTCCAATTCGGTTCGGTTCCAATTCTAGAATTGGTCGGAATTGATTAGAATTGGAATTGGAATTGGTTGGAATTGGTTGGAATTGGAATTGGAATTGGTCGGAATTGGTTGGAATTGGAATTGGAATTGGTCAGAATTGGTCAAGAATTGGTCGGAATTGGTCGGAATTGGTTGGAATTGGTATGGAATTGATTCAAAATGACTAAAAATCATAGGAACTTCCATGCCATTCGCTGAAACTAATCAAAACTAAGACATGATTAATACGAATTGCCATATATTACAAGAAATTGATCTGATTCAGTTAGAATTTATAAAAAATTTTCTATAATTGATTTAGAATTGATTAGAACTCATACAAAACTTAATAAATAATGTCAGTTCTTAGTCACTATAACTAATAAAAATTAGAATACATTCAAATAGAAATAACAAAAGTTTATTTCTATTGTTGCTCAATAGAGTAGATAAATATTAATCTTGGCTATTCATATACTTTTCTAT